TTTCTGCAGATTGGAAAAAAGATAATTAAATTTGAAACAGCTTTAACCGAAGTTGCTGTAATTCCTGTAGATATGGAAGTTGGATATAATTTTGTTGCATATCAGTCGACCGTCGACGACCGTTTCCACGACGGAGAAGATCAAGCAAGAGGTGACGGCGATGCCGCTGCCGGTCAGCACGAGCACGCAGCAGCCGTCGCAAACGCAGGGCACGCCCGATCCTTACCTGACGCACTTCGATCCGCGATCCGAGCATCAGAGCTACAAGCAGGCTCAGATGCGACTCGAGGAGGTGCACAAGGAGAAAGTCACGAAAGTAAGTTCGATTAATCGCAAGGGGAGGAGAGCGGGGTGCGCGATATTGTGCCGCGTGTCTCGAGTAGCGTGCACAAAGAAAAATACATACTGTATTAAATAAATACTACTTGTTTTAAGTATTTTATAAGTTCATATATCCGCAAATCTATCGTAAGTTCATCACAAGCATCAAATTTGTTCAAAATATATTTTGATTCTAGTAAAGTTTAATACAATCAAGAATATTAAATTTAAAAAAGAATTCTATTTGCTTATCAAATTAACCAAATCTGACTTTTCTTCGATACAATTTTATAATATTCTTCACCAAAAAATAATTACTTCTTTTGAGTATATTTTAAGACTATTATCAAGAAAATATTCTTTATTAAAGGTAATTGTTACTTAAAAAAAGGAAAGTAAGCCGAGTGATTACTTTTCTTAGCAATAGAATGATATTTTTCTGTGCGTGGAGAAAGCAAGTATAGATTTGGGATTAAGTCGAAACGTGAAAACTTGTATTCGGGAGAAGTGAAAATGAAAGACGAGTATCATGGCGCGGGACATTGGTGTCGAAATCTTTGTGCTACAACGCTTTCAGGTGATGAAGGACTGGAGTGACCTCGAGGAGAGATATCAGGACATCAGGGCCCACGATCCCGTCGCCGCGGACGCTTTCAAACGCTGGATGACGGCGCGATTCCAGGAGACGGTGGCCGCGCTCGAGGAAAGCGGCGCGGCGGAGAAGCATCAGTTAAGCGCGATGCATCAGCAAAGAGTGCAAGTACGTGGATAGCGCGCGATTAATGAAAACACCTTTGATCTGAATTCAACGAGAATCAAAGTTGCAAAATTAATATGAGCGAAATTTTTAAAATTGCATTAAACACAATTATTTTATCGCTTATAATTTTGCTGCGCCTCTAATAACTTGACGTTCGGTGAATTGAACAATAAATTATTCTTCCAAGGAGGCGGTTAAGCAGAGAAACGAGGAAGCTATGTCGTGCTACACCGCGGCCCTTAACGAGACGCCGCCGAATGTGAGTTTCCGCGTACTTTTGCACGAAGAATACTTTCCACGTTCTCCCGCCTAATGATCCCTCTATACGTTCTTCAGATGCACCGTATTCAAAAATGCCTGCAAAAGCTGCTGAGGGCCCTCCACAAAGACAGACACCACACAATCGCCCATTACAAGCACCTCCTCGACAGCAGTTTGGAACAGGCGCAGCGGGAGAAGCCGGCCACTCTGGAACACCTGGCGGAAATCGATAGGATTACCAATCAGAGCCTCTTGATGTTGGAACGGTAACGTATACTTCCATGTGTTTCACTTTAGAATATTTTAAACGCACGCGGGTCACGCGATTACCGTTGCATGCAACGCGAGAACGCCGCGCGACCGCAGAAAAAAAACGTTAGAGACTTACTTTTTCTTTTCATATCTGTTCAGATATCCGGACATAAGCGCGAAGATCGGCCGTCTCATGGACGATTACGTTTTGGCCCTCAGGAGTAAGGATGAAACTCCGGGACTGCTGTTGGCGATGACGCGCGAGGCGGAGGCAGCCATCCTCGACAAGTACCAGGCAGACGTCGCTAGCAAGCAGCAAGGTATTTATAGCGAGCCACCGTCCAGCAGACTCGCGCGAAACAAACGCACTCCACGTGCTGTCTTGTATTCTTGCAGAGAAGGAACATCAGAAGCAGCTCGAGCGGGCGCGCAAGGAACAACGTAAGGCGGAACGCGGCGAATTGCGCACGGAGCAAGAGCAACACGATTCGGAGAGCGACTCGGCAATCGATACCAAGGATATGCCAATGCTTTCGCAGCAGTCGGAACAGCCTGTCGCCGTCGCTGCTATGCATAATGAGGGAGTAGTCAGAGCAGCTCACAGCATGACTCACGATGTCTCTCATTCCGAGCCGGTAATAAAATAGCTTAACCTTATCTGCATGACCTTTCCGCGAGTCATCGTGGCCGCTGCTACTTGAAAACTTTACTGTCCGCTCTTTATCGTCATAAAAGACTCGATATCTCATTATCGTAGCTCGTCACGAAAACATGTCTTTATCAATTGTTTTCTGATTCCACAAATTCTTTCACTTTCGCAGGGTTATTCTGTAAGGCGAGAAGTGTATCACAGAGAAAGTCGATCCGTTTACTACACGCTCGCGTTCGCTGGCATATCACTCATGGCGGCTGGAGTTGTGGGTGTCGCGGTATTCAAGAGACGCAGCGCGAGAAGCCCCCACAGCCAGGTATCTTATCGTGTGAAAGAAGATATGTGTGTGTGTGTGCGAATGAGTAACGCGTTATATATACATACATATATATATATATATATATATATATATATATATATATATACTATATATCGATATCATAACGACGCGCAATTAATAACGCAACTGATATTTCTTGTTTTTTTGCGACAGGGTTTCATCGAGGTCGATCAGGCGGCCACACCCGAGGAGCGGCACGTCGCGAACATGCAGATCAACGGTTACGAGAATCCTACATACAAATACTTCGAGGTGAAGGAATAATTCGGCCGTCACCTGCGAGACTCACAGTTTTGATTTCCGAAAG